AATCAATGAAAACATTCTCAAAAGAACTTTTGTTTGTGCATGTAGTAAGTCGTAATTGTGTAGAGAATTACAGTAATATGTCCATATTGTCAACTGCAGTATATATTAAATTCATTCTTTGTCACTTCTCAACAATTGCTAGAAATCTGGTTACTTTGCAGTTGTGGTAATATTTATCCCACTTGCTGATTGGAATTCCTTCTCAGCTGTGAGGGCTCAGTTTTTGATCCCTTGGGTATCAATCCAGATGTACGTTCTAGTTTAAATAGCACTTGGGAAAGTTTTATGAGCTTGTTATCCCCAACATTTGAGAGCACTACAAGAAAGGAAAAATCTTCTTCAGCTCGAGGATTGGCAGGTTTGTTTTCTTGGCTTTTAAATGTTTTTCTCTAAAATATTCTTGTGGTGATTGATGGTAAGAGTTCTATCTGTTTGATGAGCATTCTTTATCTTTGGCAGCTGCAATTGAGGACAGTTCCATCGATTTTGGGGACTTCTTTAAAGGCCCATTACCTGGAAAATTTCTCAAGCTTTTGGGCCTTTTGGCCTTATCCCGACTTGGAATATATATACCTCTTGGTGGGGTTAATCGAGAAGCTTTTGTAGGCAATTTGGATCAGAACAGTCTATTGGGCACATTGGATACATTTTCTGGAGGAGGCATTGGTAGACTAGGAATATGCTCTCTTGGTATAGTTCCCTATATCAATGCACAAATTGTGTTTCAACTTCTTGCCCAAATTTATCCCAAGTTGCAAGATCTTCAGAAAAGAGAAGGTGAAGCAGGAAGAAAGAAAGTGAAACAGTATACTCAATATGCTTCAGTTGGGTTTGCAGTAGTACAGGTAAGGAACTTGATATCCTCTAACTTTGACAAGATGCATATTTGATGCTGCTTCAATGTAATCAGATCATGATTTTTATATATCATAGCCAGTGCTTGAAAGAAAATTATTATTCCCTGTTTGGTCATCAATTATCACTAAATCCAAGTAGAACTGCTTTGATTCTGAAAGGACCAACTTTGATGCTGAAAAGCGTTTATACTTTTATTATTTACCATGAGATAGGAAACTACAGCTGTGTAATCAAAAAGACTAAATTCTCGCAAGCTGCATTTTACTGTTCCACCATTCATAGAGTAGGCATATTGATCTAACAACTGCTAATTTTAATGCATTGCCTTACTAAGACCAAGTAGAGCTGCTTCAATCCATAAAGGACCAACTACCAAATTTTTTAATTTTTTTTAATTTTTTTAACAATGACATAGAAAATACAGTATGTACATGAAAGACAATATCTGGCGAGCTGGCTTTTACTATTTGAGTGGTCATATGGTAGGCATATACGATAACAACCTCCTAATTTTGATGCGTCACTGAAGTCCTATAATAATGGAGAAAAAATGGGAGGATGTTTGTGGTCTGCATATCCTGTAACTTCCTGAAATTACCTCACAGAGTCACCATTTCCCATCTATTTCTGCCAACTTCTTGGTACCATCTTTTCATAGCATACGTTCAAAGCTGCTAATGGAATTTTGTTATATATCTTTGTTTGCATGACAGGCAGTTGGTCAAGTACTTTTCCTTCGTCCGTATGTCAATGACTTCAGTACACAGTGGGTTCTCACATCTGTTACTTTATTGACTCTTGGCTCTGTATTGACAACATACCTTGGGGAGAAAATCTCTGATCTAAAACTTGGAAATGGCACCTCACTTTTAATATTCACAAACATCATTTCCTACTTGCCAGCATCTTTTGGTCGGACTGTTGCACAGGCATATCAGGATGGTAACTATGTTGGGCTGGTTGCCATCCTTATTTCGTTCTTCCTGTTAGTCCTTGGTATTGTCTATGTTCAGGTAACTGCTATCTGTTATGTTTGATAGTACTTGGATTAGTGGAAACAAAGAAATGTTAAAAATTATCTGAACAAAGGGTTTCAGGAAGCAGAGAGAAAAATCCCGCTCAACTATGCCTCAAGATACAGCAGCAGAAGCGGAGGGCTCCAAAGATCTGCATACCTACCCTTTAAGGTATGTGTTCCAGGTTTTGGCTTCATGCTCCTGCTATTTTGAAGTTCAAATGCTTTGCTTAAATACTAAAAATGCTGAACAATTGTGTAAAATAAGTGGAATTGGTATTATTGTAATTTTCACCTATGAACAATATTTGTCATAAAAGCAAGAACTGAGTTTTATTTGCATTCAAAACTTGATTAAGAAGCATTTTGTTGACACCATGTAGCCCACTGTCTTTATGGATGATCCGATCAGATGAAAGAATGATTTCTCTAAGTTCTTGCTGTTATTCACATGTTGTGTTATTTTTATTGGAATGCTATCACTTATTAGCTTGTAGTAGTTATTTGTCTTCAGATGTAAAATTCTTTTAATTAATCAGGTAAATAGTTCTGGAGTGATGCCCATCATATTTTCAACATCATCATTGGCTCTTCCTGGAACTCTTGCACGATTCACTGGTATAGCTGCACTGAAGAAGGCTGCATTAGCTTTGAATCCAGGGGGTAAGACTTGTATTTTGACTGGTCCAATTTGTTGAAGAATGAGTGTCTTATCAGTTCAGCAGAAAGTAATGAAATATTTCCCTCCTCAAAGAATATTCTGTTGATTTGAAAAATATGCACTGCTGCACTCTAGAATCTTCTGCACGTTTCACCTTTTATGCATGTTCACTTGTTGCAGTGGTTACAATAATATCCAGAGAATTGACCAAAAATTAAATCAAGTGAAATATACAAGCAGACCATCATTCACTGGCATTTAGCAGATGCAGTTTCCCTAATATAAGTATAAGAACTAATATAGTCCAAAACTAAATAGTTAAAATATGTGTAGGTTCTTTTTACCTCCCCACCAACATCGTTTTGATAGCTTTCTTCAACTACTATTACACTTTCCTACAACTGGACCCTGATGATCTCAGCGAACAGTTGAAGCGCCAAGGTGCATCAATTCCGCTAGTCCGACCGGGTAAAAGTACAGCTGCATTTATTCAAACGGTGATTTTCTTTCTTTCAAAGCAATTTATATGTTGTTGAATTTTCATTCTATAGCATTGAATCACTCAGCTTCATATTGATATGAGTCTGAATATGAAGCTGTCTGTATTGTGGTGATTGGGTTCTTCATTGTTTGTAGTATGAAATGTGGGCTAATATTCTAATACAATTCATACAGCATGAAACTTTGAAATATGTGCTGTTCATCACCCCTGTGAATTGCTAAGCAAAACTAGCATGAAATATTGGCGCTTTTTTTTTTTTTTTTTTTCAAGCAAATGGTTGCGCATCAAAGCACAAAATTCAGGATTTAAAGAATTGCAAAACCCTAATGGCCTCTTATTTGAAGTGTTATTCCGTTCCATGGAAGTAGCTTTCAGTTTAGAAACTGAGATGAGTCTGATTGTCCTTTAGTAGTTAGTTTTGCATTTAAGTTCTTATATTTGTGATGTTTATAAATGATCATCTTGCTGTCTTGAAGCTGATGCCAGATTATTAACAATTCTTCTCATTTGAGGTTCTTTCTAGTTATTTTAGCTTCTTATGATGTCTTAGAAAGCTGGGGTTAGTCTTCTTATATCCTGTGCAGGAGCAACTATAGACTTTAAACTCAAAATTCCTGTTGGCTTCAAAATGATCTTGGACTCATTTATATATTGTGATGGTTTCTTTATAGGTTCTTAGTCGGATATCAGTGCTGGGTTCGGTATTTTTAGCAATCCTTGCAGCCGGTCCTTCTGTCATCGAACAAACCACCCACTTGACTGCATTCAGAGGATTTGCAGGAACTTCAGTTCTCATTCTTGTTGGTTGTGCAACGGACACTGCTCGAAAAGTTCAAGCAGAGATCATATCCCAAAAGTATAAGAACATAGAGTTTTATGACATTGACAGGTATGGTTCATAAAACCCGGATCAGACTGAGGACCAAGTGTCGGATGAAAAATCATGTAACAGTGATACTTCTCTGTGTGATAGTTTTCCAGATGGAAGGCATGGTGGGACTAAGTTTGAAATGTATTTTGTTTCGTCTTCAATTAACCATTTTTGGTTGTACATTTAGGCTGTAACTTGTACATATACTGCCTTACAATTATTCTTTTAAATTGTTGAAAAGATAATTGGACAATCCATTTGTGTCTTTATTCACAAGTTATGAATTCAATAAGAAGCAGGAGAGCTTAGTTTCCCTGCTCAATTTGAGTCTTCTATCACAAACTTAAAAAGGGTTCTAAAGGAGAGTCAACTGCTTTTCTACAGTTTAAATTTTTCTCAAATGTGAAATGATAAAAGTATGAAAACAAAGAAAAGTTTATTTTATACAAACTGGTGTATCTTCATTGGTTCTTTGTGAACAGTTGGTCTACAATTCTATCTTAGTTTTAATTTCATAAAGAGTTTATAGTTTCTTTCTTTCATTTTTTCAAAGAAAGAAAATCCATTGGGAGGGTTGGTGAGAATACCAGGTTAATGTTGAATTTCAGAGTCAAGTAAATAAGAGAGGAACTTGATATTGAATTTATGCAATTTCATCAGTTGAGCCAGACATCTGAAGTTGTGGAGACTTGTTATGACAAATTTGCCCAACAACTTCATTTAAATAGGAATATGCAGATAGGGGTTATTCTAACCTCATCCGATTAATCATTTTCAAATGTGGACGTCTTGAATTTTTCCGAAGTGCAAATGAAAAGTTATTAACTAAACAAATGGAAAAGATCAAAGTGAACGAATTAATCGTTTAACTTGTTATCCACGTTTAAAAAAAAAATAAAAATCAGAGATGTCCGTGCTTGATATATCCACATATATATAATTGTTTTAATAAAAACTTTCACATTTCCATAAAATTGAAAATTGTGATTAAGCTCATCATAGTTGTCTGCAAACTTCTTAAGATAATAACATTTGAAGTTTGTATAAGAGAGCTCAAGTCTTAAAGAGTTGCAAGAAGTGGGTTAATACATCATTTGTAGATTTCATGGCCAATAGTTTCATTGCTGTAATTAGCTTGATCAAGAATGATAAAGCTAACAAGTTAAATTAAATATAACATTACAAACAATATACAGGTACCAACAGGACACAAAAAATAGCCCCACCATTTGCTCTTCACAGCCCCAAATTCCTAATGAAAGGCTTTTGCTTGTACTTGAACACAACCACCAAGATTAGTTCCAGACTGTTGAGCAAAGAAGTGTAAAATGTGGCATTTTAGAAGCCACCTATTGTAACTCTTAGCAGAGGAAGAGGAGGCTGTTATATAGACTCTAGCCTAATGCTAGTAACTAAACTAGTCATCAGGCTCAGTTGAGAAGTCGGGTTCTTCAGGCTTTTGTAATTTTGGCATCTCAACATCTTTCAGTCTCTGTGCTCCTCTCCTTGTATTTGCAGCAAATCTTTTAGCAAGTATGGTAGCCCCAAGGTTCAGTTTTGCCTGAGAGGAATTCGAACTAGGAGGGTAACGGTCCTCCTCTTCCTCTTGTCCAGTCTCATCGGTCTCTCTCTCATCCAGAGCAAAGGATTCCGTTGTTGTGAGCATATGTCCCAGCTTCCTCTTCTTATACCGGCGCCAAGCAGCCTGTATGAAGCAAGCTGCCCATGTCCTCCAGTGGTAGGAGTAAAACCGAAATGTATGCTGCAGCTTCTTACTATGGAGGCGTCTAAATTGGTTAGCCACAAACTTGAGATCTTCGGCTCTCAAGGCAAAAGCTTCAACTTCGACTAGAGCTTTAACAGTTCGAGTTGAAGATGGCAAGTTGACGGTGGATTTCGGAAGCAAAGCCCAGGCAAGTAGCTCCTCCCCACAAAAGTCGCCTGGTCTCAGTGTAATTGAGTTGAAAAAACCAGTACGGCCTCCATTAGTTGTTGAACTATCCAGTGTACCTCTGATAATAAACAGCATCTCAGTCACAGGGTCACCCTCTCGAACAATGTAGGTACCTTGAGTGCTCAAGGAAGATACTAGACGTTCACATATTGCATCAAGCAGCTGATCATCCATCTGTGAGAACAATGGAACCTGCAAATTTGAAAAGCAAGCAGGTATTGCTAAAACAGAAGTAAGCTTAATGATTAAAGCTAATTTCAAATGCATGTCATGCCACTTTGTCAAAGTAGTCTAGACCACCTTAACGATTATTTTCGTAGAGGACAAGCAGCAAACCAATGAGTAGGATTTTTAAGCTCTAAAGACTGTAAACTTTGGAAGAAACATACACGTCGAACAAGATCCAAGCACAGATGACGCTGAATATCACGGCGAAGATCAGCAGGTAAGCCACGAAGGATGGATTCTTCATCAACTCCTCTAGTAGCAAGCCACTTGTACTGGTCATAACGGCGAACACGATACCTCAAATCTTCAGGGAGTTGGCGATGCCTCATCCACTCCTCAGTATCTCTTCGCTTAAGTCTCCATTCCTCTAATCTCACAGTTAGAGATTGCAGATATGTCTACATCATGAAAACAATTTTAAACCATTAAACTGCATAGGAGAAGATTACAAGCTGTTAATAAACTAGGAGGGTCAATCATTTTCTTTAACGAATTCAAATATAGGCAATAATTGAAGTTTAGAGTTTACTATCATTCTTTCTAAAGTTTACTACTTTTCAGTGGTTTAGAGAAGGAGAAAAATGAAAGACCAGTAAGAACGAAGAAGAACCAAAAGTTCTTGGTGTCAACTGCCACTGACAGGCAACTTGACAAGATAGTAATATAGCTATCCAAAATGAAGTTATTAACCACCGACACCAAGCAAAAGTTAGTTTGAATGTGAAAATTCAAGGATTGCGTGTTTCCTAATACCTGCATATTCCCAATCAAATGTGCGAATAGAACCAGACCCAAGATGGCAATAAGTATTGCAAATGCTGTCTCCCCAATATATGTGCTTGTTGACAAATTCTGCCCATACGAACTGAGATAATAAGGAAACAAAAACAAAATCAAACATTTGTGAATGAAAACACATAATTAAATGGTTTCCATTATTTTCAAGATCAGATATAGAGATACACATCATGCAAAAGTATCACTCAACAATCACTCCGTCAAGTGTTCTCTATTGCAATACAATTCCATCAGCATCATGCACCACAGCTGACCAAGCATTTTAGCTTTTTAAACAATTTTAAAACCATATATTCAGTTTCAGTTCCAAATGGTAAGTACATCCACTACTACTTTGCATACAGACTCAAGCAGAAGGAAAGAGAATATCTCTAGCCAGCTCACCCAAGCAGTTGCTTATTCTAGCAAAAGAATAATATTATCCAACAAATAAAGGATGCATATGCCTACTTCCAACTTTAGTTTTCATTGCTAAATATTATATTTTCAGCAATGAAACAACAACTTTCTCGAATTTATAAGATAAACTTTTATGTCAATGTAAATTCCTGAACTCATATGGATGACCCTTTTATGACAATCATATTTTCCACATCATTTCATCGTATAAGTGTTATTCCTACAATGGGATTTTCAAAGTTTACTATCAGCATCTAGCGCAGGCTATATTAGTGCTAGACTTTGTTGGTGCAGAGTCCAGTCTATTCACATGAATTAGTTTTACTATTCCAGCCCGTTAACTGCAACATACAGTCCAAGATATACAGAAAAGAGAAGAATGACTGAAACCCAAAAAAAAAAAAAAAAAAAAGGTGTCACAGCCATCAAATTAGAAATGAATGTCAATTGAAAATGAGATAAATTGATGAATTTGATGCACAGAAAGAATAATATGTACCTGAGTTGCTGCAGGCCCCACCACAAACAATAGAAATACTTCTCAATAAAGACTGAGGACACAACATTCTTTGTAACTGCATTTGCAAATATGCCATAGTTGAAATCACTTGCTGAATTCCTTGGATCACAGGTTTTAAACACATTTGTACTATTTGCCCATATCTTGCGTTCTAGATGGTTAAAAGCATCACAATCTAAATAGTTAAGAATGCATTTAGGGCTAGTTTCCTTCTTGCACATTTTTTTCCAGCATGATGTATACCTATCAACTGAGAGTAGATACCATGCTGCCCCCAGAACCTGCATTAAACAAAGTGAGACAATGAATGGCCATCAATTTGCAAACTCAGAAAATGAAATTAAAAAACAAAAAAAGCATATGGAAACTTAAACAAGTGGAACGACAAGAGTAACAGATAAAGTTTGTAAGAAAGCAGAGTAATAAATAAATATGAAAGTAATCGGGTAACGTACATGGCTAGCCAACATGTAGAGTAACAGATTATATGCAGCCCCTGCCCAGGCAGTCTTCGTGACCACTCCAGTTGCTTTGATAATTTCAGAGCTCAATGGAAAAATCAAATACAATCTGGGAATATACTGAATCAGAACGATCAATGCAAGGGCATTGTTGTTGTGATCTGTTCGGGGACTTCTTGTTGCTGGTATAATAAACCAGATGACAAGCTGCACAAAAATTCATTAAACTGAGATTCACCTTTTCTCAACTGGAGAAAGCATAAAACTAGAACGAGTAAAATAATATCATAAGTTAAATGAAGAGGTCGAAAGAATAAAAGGCGAAACCAGATTCCATCCTCACATTATCAAATCTAGCATTTTATCCACAAGCAAATACGCCATATGATCAACGAATAAGCATATAGTACAACTGCAAAAGCAGAAATCTCGGGAAGAAGGAAAATAGAGAATCACATAAATTACTTTAATGAAATGTATTCCCTTGTTTAGAGCAAAAATGATAGAAACCTTTGAAAGCTATCTGAGTACATCCATGACTAGCAGCTTGGGTCTTTGAAAGCACAACATAGAGGATGTTGAATACTAAATGCCATACAACTATTTTTCATTATTATCAAATCCCAATAGAAAGTATGTGGTTAATCAATATTTATCACATTGACTTACTGATGCAAACTAAGCATGTCGACAACAGAGATGCACGTGTATAACATCCAAACACTACTTTGAACAATGGAATGGATAACTGAAAATTCCTTCCAAAGTGTATTTTCTGCCAGTATTCTTTCAGGTTGAGAGTTTCTCATCTACGAAATCCAGGATCTCAATGGATGTTCTAACTCTTCAAGAATTTAACTTGGAATTACATTCTTACAATATTTTTTCATGTGCAATAGGGAAGATGATTGACTTGTGACAGCATTCAGCTTCAGTACAGGATTGACAAAGAATCCCAGTGCAAAATGGATTACTTGGGCAGTGAATACAACCACATGCTTCATTCTTTATTGCTATTTAGGGAAGATCGAAAGAGTTTTCTATCACCAAGATGGAAGACAAAAAACTGTTCTTTCCACATAATTTTGGAAATATAAACATCATTTTGCTGAAGGGGGAATATAAAAGCCCCGAAAAATCAGCATAGAGAATACCAAAATGAGGACAAAATTGAAGGATAAAGGGGAAAAACTATGTTCTTCAGAAAAATATAATTCAAATCAAGAAATCAGCTAGAAAAAGGCACCAATAACATGCTCTCCTACTAAGTAAGACTAACAAAAGGATCCAAAGTCATGTAAATATAAATTGTATACTATTAAGTCATTCTACCAATATAAGCACCATCTGTTCTACTTTGCTCAGTAATCTAAATGGGGCACCTCAAAATCAATGTATTATATTAAAACTAGAATATCAAAGATTGATATGTCAAAATAAGATACCTGGGGGAGAGGCAGGGTTGCGATGAGATCAATGAAGAAATCAGATCTAAGATACCTCCGGGCAATCTTCTTTGGATCCATGACCAGTTCACCCCTTCCAAACACCCGAGTGCTTGGTGCAATGTAAGCTGTCCTAAATTTTATAACCATGTGCAACAAATAAAAAAGATCTGCTACAGTCCGGAACAAGGTCACGACAATTCGCAACTCATAGTCTGTCTTCACACATGAAACATTTTCATCGCCTCCCACAGAAGGCAAGTAAAAATACAATGGGTCAACAAAAAGTGCGACCAAGCATGCGACGATGAATACCCGGTTCCATTGCAACACAATATCACTACCTGGGTCGAGTATTCTCTTGTGCCATGGTTCATTTTCGTGTACAAGAAGTGTAGACCACCCAGTTTTGCTTGTTTCTGGCAGTCGATTTCTGCCTCCATCCAACCCATTTAACACAGAAGGTAATGCAATCTTGTACGCAGATGATGACCTCTCAAGGTGCATTGGGAGGTCATTTTTTCCCCACAGAGATTCTTTATGTTGTTTCCCATCAGAATAAAACCTAGACAGAAGTTCAACCAACAAATTGACTAGATATTCCCAATTTTTCAGCGAAAACAAAGATAATCTGCATTTAGCATACCTCGGACAAAGATAACAACTTTTCAGCATTATGAAGACATAACCAAATATGTTTCCAGAACTCTTTGCTCTGGAAAACAAAACAAAAAGCAGAAACTCCCCACCGCCCAAAAACAAAATAATCAAATACATACTCAAAATCTCAGAAGATTTAGTTAAAGAATATTAAAGAATCATATTCTTTAACTTGTTTTGTTTTGGTTCAATATAATTGAAGTCCAATAAACTCTCTCATGCTCCAGTTCAGTGAAATTCCAAGCTTTCCTAGTTATCCAACAGCGACAAATCTGAAACTTTCCTACATCTCTTCAGTTATTAACGAAAACTGTAATTAAGAAAACAGAAACAGATATCTTTCTAAAAACATGATTTACGATCTATTAGTCTCCAAAGACCAAATTTTTTAACTCGAACTACTTTTTTGAAGTCAAATAAAATTTTCCCACATTTTCTCAAGCACCAAACACAGCTCAGAAGCAAAAACAACACCAAGAAAACTCAACCCACCAATTTTTCCTTAAAAACAAAGAGAATCCAGAACAAAACATGATAAAACAAAAACAACAACAACACCAGAGATAAATTAAAAAATAAAAATAAAAGAAGTAGAGGATGATTACCTGACAAGCTTTTCCTTTTTGAACTCCATGAAGGAAAAGAAAGCATAAATCTGAATCTCTTCAAAACCCCACCAAGAAAAACATGATATTCCAAGTGTAGCTCATTGATTTCTCTGTAAATCTAGAGATTTGTTAGGCTTTCGTCTTTGGGTTAGTAAAGAAATGGAATCAAAGGTGTGTTTTTTTGAGTTAAATTATAAAATATTTTAGGTGTGTTTTTATGAAAGAGAAGCCAAAATTCACTACTTGAACTACATTGTACGCTACAAAGTCAACAAGGTGTTTAGACTATGACTCAAACGACAGCTTCAACTTTGTCCTAAAAACTTGTCTTACTGGTCCGGTAGAGTTACCCACTTCCTTTTTTCCTTATTATTTCTAAACATATTTTTATTATTATTATTAATGTTTTATTTTTTGTCTTTTTGACATACGTAATTGGTTGGATAAATTGTAGGGATAATGAGTTGTTTACTTTAAAAAAAAAAGGTTTTGTCATAGTAAACTCCGTATAGTTGATCTTTTTTTGTGAGGACCCATTGGTTTCAAATTGTGACTCTAACTCTTGGGTGTTTAACCTTTTTTGGAGTGAGTACTGTTGGTTTTAGAAATATGATCATAACCTCTATTTTTTATGAACTGTTAGATCATCATGTTTAAATTTTATAGACCCAAACCCAATCCCATAATGTAATCTGGTAAACCTTTTTTGTTATTTATGTAATTTAGTTGAGGTTCGTGATTATTTCTTTAATTCTATTTTTTTTTTCTTCTTTATATATAAAAAAAATTAGAAAGAAAAAATGGCAAATTTCTTATAAACCATGTAGAATTGACCTTTATTATTCAGATTAAAGAGTAGCACACTAGGTTAGACCTCTCTGTCAATAATAAAATATTACCTTTTTATGTTGACCATTGAAATGACATTATTACCCTCAACAACAACCCAGAAAAATATTCTTCAATTGTTAGAAATTAGTTGGTTGGACTAACTTAAAGCGGCAGCCTAAAAGCTAACTTATTGCCGAAGTGCTTTTAATTAAAACTTGCAAAGATAAATATACAATGAAAAATAGGAACATATATATATATATATATATATATAAAAGGTGTTCGGATCAATTTACGTACACTTTAACTAATCTTTGAGAGAGACTAAAACAACAACCTATAGTCACAACTCCTCAATTAAATCTTGGGACCTATGGAGATTCAAACCTAGGACTGTACATCTAAACCACGAAAAAAAAAAAAGAACATTTGTTTAAGAAATTGATACATATTACATATATACAATAGCAAATTCAGAAATTTTTGTTAGGATGAACTAAAATAAAAACTAATCACACATTAATATTTTTGTTAGGGTGTGCTAAAATCCAGAAATTATATATATTAATATTTTTTAAAATAAAATTGAGGGTGGCCATGTAGGCTGGATCCGCCGCTGCATATATAATTATATATTAAGGGCTTTAAACGCTCTCTCTTCCAAAAACTATAACAATAATTAATTTATATATATAATAATACTTTACTGATGGGATAATCTACTCTATATGAGGGAGTAGTACCTCCAAAGCAATTGAGAGACAAAGAGCAGCGAGAGAGAAGAGTTGCAGAAAAACTTGCATGTCTTTCTTATTATGATGAAGCAATATAAATAACCCTAAAATAATAAAGTCTTAATAATCCAACTAATGCCCAACATAAGGAAAAATAACATCAATTAACCAAAACTAATTACAATAACAATTAATGACAATAACATAAAAATAACTTTGCTGCTCAACGCCTCATGTGATAATCCTTTGCCCATAAAGGAGTTTGCCGAGTCCTTGTAGGATATCTTCCTGCTGCTCCATCCTTCACAGGCTCTCCTCTAGCTGGTTTCCTACCAATAATCCCCTGTTCCACTTCAACCTTCTCCTCAAGGTTGGGAGACAACTTCCCGTAGATAGCCTCGAATGCTGCATCATCCTCCCAAGAGGTGTCCTCCAGCGGTAAGCCGTGCCATTGAACTAACAATTATGACACATCAACCCCCTTACGCGACACAATTCGGCGACCAAGCACAGCAAGGGGAGTGATGTGTGGCTGACCTTGGTGACCAAAGGAGATAATTGCAAGGGTGTGATTGTCGGAATAGCCGAACACAGTTTCAACAAAGACACATGAAATACGAGGTGTATTTTGGACCCTTCCAGCAAGGCCATCTTGTAAGCAATTTTGCCAACCCGCTTCAAAATTGCAAAGGGTCTATAGTATTGCCACCCAAGCTTGGAATAAACCTGCCTACTCACTGACAGTTGACGATAAGGCTGCAATTTCAGGTACACTTGCTAACCCACTTCGAATTCCACAGGCTGCTGACGTTTGTCAGCTTGGCTAATTGTAAGGGTTAGCTGGATGAGAGATAGATGGATAAGAATTTTTCAAATATATTTCAGTGTGTACAACGTATAATATTTACACACAAACTCTCCATAACTTTCTCCTATACATAAGCTTTTCAAAAATCAAAAACACTATCACAAACGTAACAAAGTTGTTGGCCAGAAATATCAGTTGTAATCTTCTCTGTTTTGACTGGGTATTCTTGTTCCGAAATATCAGTTGCAATCTTCTCTATTTTGACTAGGCACTCTTGTTCCCTTGGCTGCTGCTGTGTCGTTAGAAGCAGGTTCTGTTTTACCTCCAATACTAACCATACGTTGTTGAGCGCGACCCAAGTTTTCCTTTAACTCTTTCAAAATGCGGTCACGGGAGCTAAGTTCAAAGTCTACTGAATTCACATTTGATTCACCCAACACATAAGGTCGGATCACCGAAGGCTCCCTGCCATACACTAAAGTAAAAGGTGTGGTTCTGATTGAAGTGTGGAATGAAGTGTTATAGTAGAATTCTGCCCAAGGAAGGAAATCCGATCACTTATCTTGTTGGTCCATCATAAAGCAGCGCAAGTATTGCTCAAGGAACCGATTTGTTACCTCTGTTTGGCCATCTATTTGTAGATGATAAGCTGAACTGTGGAGGAGGGTGGTGCCACTGAGTTGAAACAATTGTCTTAGGTAAGTCGTGGAGTTTATAGACTAAATGAACAAAAAAAGTAGCAACTTTGGTTGCCGTAAACCCACGGCAGATGGGTCCAAAATGCGCATATTTGGTCAAGTGATCTACCTCCAGAATAGCGAGAGCTACCTCTTCCCAAATCTGAGTTGGTATGGGCAAGGGTTGCAGAAGGCCTCTAGAAGAGTGAGTTTGGTACTTGGCCTGATTACACATATGACACCCTTGAATGAAATCCTTGATGTCTTTGCCCATATTATGCAAATAAAAGTTTAAAGCCAGTTTACTCAGAGTTTTTCTGTAACCACCATGACTGCCCAAGCGTGTGGCATGAAACTCCACGAGAAGTTGTTGCCACAAGGATCCCACTTAGAGGTGGAAAAGTGACCCGCCCGGCCCGGCCCGGCCCGCGGAGGGTTACTTTGTTTGGCGGGCCGGGCCTAACCCGCCCGCCAGCAAAGGTAGGCCGGGTTAGGCCCGCCATTTTCTTCAAAATGGCTGGCCCAGCCCGGCCCGCCAGCCCTAACCCGTCGGGTTAGGTGGCGGGCTAGGCCGGGTTAGCCCAATTTTCCTTTTTTTTTGTTTTTTTTTTTATTTTTCAAATAAATAATTATAAATATAATTGTTTTTAATTAACTTTTCAAATATCAATAATTCAATTCAATTTTTTTGTTTGTTAACATTTCAAATATTAATTCAATTTTGATACAATAAAATTATAATATAAGAAAAATTATTCATTTATCAAAAAATAAAATAAGAAATTACAACAATTATTGCCTCGTTAAAAACCTCACCAAGAAAAACCCAATGGGAGAAAAACTTGGTAAAGAAAAAAGAGTGCAATAATTGACAATTAATTTACAAATTACATTTTACAAAACAACTAATTTGGGGGTGGTTCACTAGGACCTCCCTCATCTGTATCATCTATATTACAAAATTGAAACGATTCTACTAAAGCATTGTCGATAACCTCGTATTGATCTTGATGGCGCGATCGTTCCCAATCTCGAAGACATGTGAGGACTTCAATCATTTTTGGAGCAAGTTTAGTCCTCCTTTCATTTAAAATCCTTCCACTTGCACTAAATGTTTGTTCGGATGAGACGGTTGAGACAGGAACAGCGAAAACATCCAAGGCAAGTCTTGATAATACCGGAAAAATACATTTTCTGGCTCTCCAATACTCTAAGAGATCAAAGTGACCTGTTGAAAACATTTCGGGGGTTGCCAAATATTGTTGAAGTTCATTACTCTGCGACTCCATGGAGGACAGCATATTAGTTGTTGTTGTTGTTGGTGGTGGTGCGTCTGAAGAGGAGGCTGTGCTTCGGACTCGGGTCCTCTTCGGCCTATTCAGTGCATTCCAAGAGAATAAGTCTTCATTTGTTTCTTCTGCTACAGCTTCTCTGGATATTTCGCCTCTTTGCGACTGCGGGTTCCCATACCTGTTTTCATATTGGAAATATACTTCGAAAAGACTATTTTTTACCTCTCCTATTTGATTGACATATGATTCGTTTTGTAAATTTTCACTTAAATTGTCAAGACCATTTTCTAAACGTGCTAATTTAATTCTAGGATCAAATATAGCACCTAAACAATAAAGAAAAGGAACGGGTCTCCAATATTTCAAAAATTTTTTTTCCATTGCCTTTATTGGTGCATGTAAAATTTCATCATCTTTGTTTTTTGTAAATAACTCGGAAATTTTTATAATTGCATGTATTACCAATGGACTAGTAGGATAATACACACCAGAAAGTTGTAAAGTGGCTTGGTAAAAACATTTGAGAAAAGAATGAAATACTTTAGCTATCTTCCAATCATTTTCTACCAAATGATGAGGACCTCTATTATTTGCTACAAAATAACTAATTATATTAGCATAAGGTAAACATGAATCAAGCATTAAATAAGTACTATTCCATCTAACAGGCATATCTAATGCAAAAGTTCTAGGAGACATATTTGATTTTATACAAGCTTCTTGAAATTCAGC